CACAGCGGAGGGAGCCGGCAGTGTGGTGAGATGTGATTGCCTGGAGGAATTCAAGGGACGTCCACACTTCATCAATTGGCCCATAATGCGTTTTCTCTTAAGCCCCGCAGTACCGAAGAATGCCTACCTACCCTCTAGTAACCAGTTTTGAGGTAGATAGGCACGAGATAAAACCTGTTGCACAGTATCAACGCAAACACATGAAAGTCGCTGGACTAAATCGACGTAATTACGGTTACTACAAACGTGCCTGAAGGGCCTAAATCCAACAGCGGAACCTGTCACGGTTTGATTTGTAGCAACTGTTATTGCGTTACGCTGCCGCTTGTGGTGTTACAGCAAATTGAGCACTGAATCATGTGTACATGTACATTTATTGTCATTAGGTACATCATCATTTAGGTAGAATATGTGTACTAATGAATGAAGCATTTGAAGTAAAATTCACTTTATCTTGGTTCTAAGTCATAAACTGAGACACTCTAGATCAAAATTATACCATTTAGTATGTGAGATATTACTATAGATTGCTTAGTGCAAAAGAAGAAGCAGAAAATTATGGTTACCGGTTACAAATATATGTCTGAAATTAAGTTGAGACATGATTCGTATGTTGAAACTTGTGGGAGTTGTAAAGAGATGTATAGAGAGTTTGGGCTTAAAGTAAACTGAAAAATATGGGTATGGGATATAGGGGAAACAACAAACGTAGGTCACAAATTGTAATACATTGAAAGACATGTATAGAGACTTGGGGGAAGATACAAGCTGATTCATTGAAGTTATAAAACCATTTTACAGTCGTGACAGTCGAGTTACCTGAAGTGCCTCGTCACATTTGATAATATAACACTCTACGGATACTTTAGGCACAACAAGAGCCCTTGTCATAGCGGAGGGAGCCGGCAGAGTGGTGAGATGTGATTGCCTGGAAGAATTCAAGGGACGTCCACACTTCATCAATTGGCCCATAATGCGTTTTCTCTTAAGCCCTGCAGTACCAAAGAATATCTACCCACCCTCTAGTAACCAGTTTTGAAGTAGATAGACACAATTCAGATAAAGTCTGTTGCACAGTATCAACGCAAAGTCGCAAACACATCAAAGTCGCTGGACTAAATCGACGTAATTATGCTTACTAAAACGTGCCTGAAGGGCCTAAATCCAACAGCGGAACCTGTCACGGTTTGATTTGTAGCAACTGTGATTGCGTTACGCTGCCGCTTGTGGTGGTACAGCAAATTGAGTACTGAATCATGTGTACATGTACATCTATTGTCATTGGCTACATCATCATTTAGGTAGACTATGTGCACCAATGAATGAAGCATTTGAAGTAAAATTCACTTTATCTTGGTTATAAGTCATAAAACGAGACACTCTAGATCAAAATTATACCATTTAGTATGTGAGATATTACTATAGATTGCTTAGTGCACAAGAAGAAGCAGAAAAGATATGGTTACCGGTTACAAATATATGTCTGAAATTAAGTTGAGACATGATTCGTCCTGGAAACTGGAAAGTAAAATGGAAAGATATAGGAAACAACAAACGTAGAAGGTCACAAAATGTAATACATTGGAATACATGTATAGAGAGTTGGGGGAAGATGCATGCTGATTCACTGAAGTTATAAAACCATTTTACAGTCGTGACAGTCGAGTAACCCGAAGTGCCTCGTCACCTTTTATGACATTATATATAT